GGTTCTCCCTCTAAGGTCAGCATTAAATCTCTTTTGAAAAGTTGTGCCTTAACCTTTTGATGTGCTTATTCAAGAGGAGATGTTGAAGTGAATTTTCCAGACGTAGTCGAAGCACTCTGATCAGAATAACATTCTCTACCCTCAAGGATGGCAGTCAAGTAGTTAAGAGGATTTTTCCGTTTCAGCAATGCCAAATCTTCCTTGGTATGAGACCCTGTCGAAGTAACCCTCTCATTTACAATACGAGCCACATTGGCTTCGACAGGAATCTGCACAGGGACATCTTCAACACGCGCAGAGTTTCCTGCTCCCCCTGTGAGGTCTTCTCTCTCATCAGTCGCCGGGATATCTTTAGTCCGATTTCCTCCTGCTGGCGTGTTTTCCTTCTCTGTTTCGATCACATCGTCAGCAACCTCCTCTTCCCCATCCTTCTGTCCATCATCATTAGCTTACGGAGTCTTAGGATTCACATGCTCTTCACTGGGAACTTATTCATTAGGCTTCCCAACGGCTTCGTGCCCAGAAGTTTGGTTCACTTTGCTAGAAGAACTTATAAAAGATCCTTTTTCCGAAGAAGTCCTGTAAGTAGGATCACCCTCACTGTTTATCAAGGTGACAGATTCTTCTACGAGGTTCTGTTTTGAAGTACCAGCAGTGTCATGAAGATTACAAGATGGTTATCAGAATTATTGAAAAAAGAAAAATAAGTCGAAGTCAGTAAACAATCGTGAGGGGTCGAAGTAATTACCTTAGGCGGAATTTCAGCGCCAGGACTTGAGTTGTCGCTCTCACTAGGATTGTTTAGCCCAACCGTTATCTCTTGCTCAGTTGGTTCTCTGATGACGACAGGAGGAGGTCTCGACCCAATGACTTTAACTTTGACCTTGGTTTTTGGAGGAGGCTCAGGAATAAGGGCTGGTTTCTTTAACTTTTGTCTTTTTAGGGGGACAAGAGGAGATTTTTCCTCTTCATCACTGGAAATTTCAATTTCTTGAACTTTCCTTTTCTACGGATTGATTTTAAATTCCCAGAAAGAAAGGAGTCGAAGGCATTAGCGTCAAAAGTAATATGTCGGAAAGAAATATATAATAGCAGAAAGTGTTTACCTTGGGTGAAGGTTTCACAGAAGGGTCTCCTCCTTATGCGCTTTCAGCAACTTTCTTGGTGACGGTCCTCTTGACCGCTAGAAAATGAACAAGGATAAATTAGGTGTCGAATGATTTGATTAAAGATGATAAAGACATTTGTTTTGAGAAAGAAGATTACCCTTTTTTATCTTGTCAGAGACTAGCGTAAACGCCTCTTGAAGATGAGCAGCAAAGTCTTTTTCGTCGAAAAATTCTTCTTTATAATACTGCTTCCACCAGTCCTCAAAAAGAGGCGAACATAGGAAATTGAGATTGAAGTAGAACAGAGTTAGTATGGTTCGACCAACGTACCTGCAAGTATGCTTGGTAGCTGCATCCTTTGAGTAGTCTACATTGTAAAACAGCAGAATATTTTCTCGAGAGTAGATTGGTGAAGGGAGCGTCTGGATAATACTAAATTGTCGAGAGACAAGATTCGGTTGATAAGAAATTAAGCTAAGTTGATTCTTCGAACTCTAGAATCTCAGAGGCATGATTCTTGATCGAAGAAACGATTCCCAGATAGCTACATATTCATCCACATGGTCATCTTCGTCAGACGAGGGATATGGTCGAATGAACCATTCTGGGCCAACCCTTCTACTAGCAAAGGGAGCCATGGTCGAAACAAATTCCTTCCTCTTTGCAAACATCATTACAAAGATAGTAAACGCCTTTTGGAATTGTTGACCTTCGTCAGTTGGAGCCAACAGGACTAGTCTAGTCCCTTCGACCCTTCTATTCAGGACCTCTGGAGCCTTCTCGTTAATCTAATTCTTCTGCGGAAGAAAAGATTCAAAAGTGGCATTTAACCAAAGTTGCAGAAGCCAAAAGGGGCCGGAAAGGAGAAAACTCTCCTTTTCTCCGATAACCTTAAGTTGAGTCACACCATTGTTGATGGACTCATACAGGTTGACTAGAATCAACTCAGCCAGACAAAGAGGATAGCCATGGTGAAGTTGTGTTGCAAGAGTAAGCATTTTCTTAGTCACTTGAAGTGACTTGGTGCAAAAAATAAAACGAGATAACCACAAAGCCAGAAATCTATGTGTTCCACTTTAGAGACAATGGTACTCGACTTGTGTGGAAATGATTGATGAATATGATATACGTGGGCTTCGTGGCCGAAAACCCGATAGGATCTTCAGACAGATCCTCAGGGTCGAAGTAGTCACCCGTTGGTCGAAGACTAGTAATGGCGGCTATATCGAAGAGAGTTGGAGTTACCATTCCACAAGGCAAATGGAAGGTAAAATGTGTGATGTCCCAGAAATACAATGAAGACACCAGCATGTGAGGGAAATAAGCTAACCCAGTCTTCGACAGCATGATCAAGTCATAGATCCCCATATCTTTCCAGATTTGGGCTTATACTTTTTCCATCTTGCTCAGCCATTCTGAGTATTCTGAAGTAAGACTAAGGCAATATCAAAAGCTCCTATTTCCCTTGTTCATGAACTGAAGGTTGATATCTTCCTTCTTCTGAGAATGTTGCTGGTTGGCAGGAGTTGCATCTTCAGGATCATTCCTAAGTTTCTTCGCACAACCTATAGGCTTGATCCTAGGATGAGTTGGGAAGAAGTTGTTATTTTGTTTTGGGTTCTCAAAACATATAGACAATGGGCCAGACATATCATACATCTTCCCAGGATACCTAACAGGGATAAGCAACTGGGAGTCATAAGCATCACACCACTCTTTGGCTATGGGTTTAGATACGACCCTTCGTTCCCCAGTCGAAACAGGTACAGGGTTAGTGGAGAAAACCTCTGGTTGTCTTTGGAGATCCGAAACATTCTTAGTTTTTGGATTGCTGGGTGCATTGGAAAGGAAATCCATGGCTGAAAGTAGTAGTGAAAGAGAGAAGAAGATGAAGTTGTTAAGGTTTTTTCTTTGCAAGGAAGTGAAGAATACTAGGAGTTGTAAAAGGATTCCCAAAAGAGGATTCGTCAATTTATAGTGTTTAGGAAGGAGTGTTTTTCCCCAAGACCATTTAATGCTGCAAAGTTAGTGGGGCACGTGGCGAGCGTTAAAAGTTATTGTACGAGTAATGAAAACGTTTGCCATACTTTCTTATGTTGTAGGGATAATGGCCATCATGGCAGCGTGGTAACGACTGATTGACAGCGACATGTTGGGAAAAAGGTAATGATGACTCTGAATACCAGAAGTGGTTGGTAGAAGGCGAAAAGCACACAAACGATTTATATGGTCAAAGAGAAGAAAGGTGTCGAATGGGAATCTCAAAGAATGATCATCTCTCCTTGCGTCGAAACTGATATTCTTAGGGGGCAATTTGTTAGCTCCTAAATTCGTCACCTACAACAAGTTGGCCTCATGGGCCAAAAATAGATTGAACAAATCTAAGTTGGAAAGGCTTCGACAAAGTAGAAAAATACTTAGAGAAATTCTAAGTTAAAATGAGTCTTGGACCAGAAGGTTCTCAATCCCTTTGATTGAAAGGACCTCAAGGTCTTCGACCAGAAGGAAACTTCGTATCTGCACCAGAAGGTTTTGAATCTGAAGAAAGGAGGGAAAAGCAATTCGCTTGGCAGTTGAGGAAAGCAACGTGGCATAAAGAGAGGGGTCGAAGCGCATGCAGAAGACACTTGTCTTCATCCTAGAGCAAGGCAACTCCTCGACGGTTACCTAGTTTTAGTATAAATATAGGAAGTTTATGTAGATTTTCGTGTGTTCAACTGATCGTACAAATTATTCAATACTATTCAAGTATCCGCTGTGTGAGAAAGAATACTGAAAAATGTACGTTTGAAACACCACATTTTACAATCAAAGTCTTTTATTTCTCTCTTTACATTTCTTTCCCTTTTATCTTGTTTGTACTTTATCTGCACTTTTACCCAGATTCCTGCACCTAAACTCTCCTCAACCCCTTTGTTCTATTTACTTTCTGCACTCAAACTCATCCCTTTCCCTGTCGAACGTGCGTTCTTCACCCACATTAACGTTTATGTCCAAAACAACATCAAAAATTAGCATATGTCCTAGGATCAAACTGATCGATCCTGCGAGTAACCAAAAAATTACCCTTTTTAAAAGATCAACAATTATTTACCAGAAAACACGGTGAACACTACCCACCTGAATATCTCTACAAAAGCAAAAAAAAGTTATAGTCCATCAAAAATACTATTGAGTCTGCCCATATTCAAGCTTCTACTAACTCTTCTCAATATTCTTAATATTATAACATTAAAAAAATAATTAAATTCTAGATATTATCTTTGTTTCATTTTTAAGAAAAAAAATTACAACTAATAAATTTATTTGCAATACTTTTATTTATTTTAAATATGAAATTAAATTTTAATGTATTGTGAATGTACAATTTCTTATACTACCACGCAATAAAAAATATCATATATAATTAAATGTATTGATTTGTAATGAATTGAGATGCCAGCTATAAAAATTTAGCCTTATAAGTTCAAAATATAAATTAAAATATAGGAGACGGTTAAAAATAACTATTATTATCACTTTAATTACGAAAAACATTATCTATAATAAAACATATAATTTTTCTTAACAAACAAATCTTCCAAGGTTTCTTATAATCAATATTAGAGAGGATAAATCTATAATTAAAGTTTTTCTTCTAGAGAGGCACATTAAAAAAACACAAAAATAAAAATCTATACATGTCGCTGTCACTATTATTTTTTAATTAATAATATAAAGACATCAATCATGTGGCTACATACTTTCCAGGCAGCATCCCTATCCTGCAAGTGCTGAATCTTTTTAAATCTCCAAAGTCATCACTTCTCCATAGCTTGAACCTCTCTAAGTCTGAGGTTTCATAAGCTCATCAAAATCACTACAAGATTATTATAGATCAAGCTATCAAATATGAAGCCTCATCTTCTCATGTTGCTAATCATCATGCTTGTTTCAATTTCTTATAAACCATCACTTATAGAAGCAAGGACACTTTCCTTAATCTCAAATCAAGGTACTTTATAGTAATATTTAGAATATTAATTTTACAATTTTTGTCTCTTTTCTTCCATAGGATCTGATTTATTTGTACTTGGCATGTACTATGTTCTTATTTTCCCTCTTTTTGTGATCTATAACTGCAGGGTACTCAAAGATTTTTGCAACACTTGGAGTTGTTTGCCAATGTTGTGACGAAATTGGTAGTGCTTGCACAAGTACTTGGACAGAATCTTGCAAGAACTTGAAATGTTTACCTTGGAAATCACACTAGTTTTCCATTTTCTGTACCTATATATTAAGTTTAGAATATGAAGTTTTTTTTTTTTAATGATATTAAAGTTTGTGTTCTAATGTGAAAGGTTTGAGTTTGTAACCAATTTTATGTGTTCATAGTTTTTGGTTTGAAACAAGTCAATGGATATAATAAAGTTAATATATAATCCCCACCACATGTCTATTGCAATTTGCTTTACTTTGAAATTAGATCCAAAATAAATAATTGTATTATTGGGTAGTAATAATTTTTCATGATGAAAAAAATTATGGATTTAGTATGTTTTTGGTCTTTTTAAATATTTTATATTTATTTTTAATTTTTTTTTAAAATTTCTTTAAATAATGGATTTTTTAAAATTTTAATTTTAATATTTAGTTCTTCCTGTCAAAATCGTTACTAAAATTGTCGATAATTTAATTATTAAATTTAAAACCATTATTAATTCTATCATTAAAGTATAAAAATTGTCACTTAGTTGTACGAAGGATCAACAGTTAAAATAAAATTTTTAAAAAAATTATTATTTAAAAGAAATATTTAAAGGAATTAAAAATTAGGTATAAAATATTTAATAGACCAAAAATATACTTAATCCAAAAATAATCCTTCAATTCAACTAAAGTTGACTAGAAGAGAGTATAGAAGGATATCCGGTTTTAGATGAAAGATGTTATTGTAATTTTAGTTTGTTTAAGGTTTTTGATGATTTTGTATGATTATGTTATGTTGAAATTTTAAAATAAAATTTTAAAATTATGGTGATAAATCATTAGTTTATGATTATGTTAAATTTGATATTAATTGAGATATGTATCTTCTTTCTTTAACAAAAGAATTTTGAGATTCTTATATATTCTTTTTATTCTAATTTTAGAACGGAATAGTGCTTTTAAGTCTTTTGTTTTTATTGGTCTTGTTTTTGGAGGAGTGTAGACTAATATAAACATATATGAACACAAATACAGGTTCACATAAACATGGATCTTGGCCCCACGAAAGACCCACCATGCTAGCACCATCCTTTAATGGGACATGAACGTGGTCCATTCAGTTAGACTTGAGAGTTACACATAAGACGAGTGAGTTGTGCTGTTCACAAAAAAAAAAAAAAAAGATTTTGAAAAACTTGATAGATTAAAATTAGAGTTTAAAACATTTTAAATTTTAAATGCTAAGTAGAGGGAAAATAATTTGAAGAAAATAAATGATAGAAAAGTAAAAAGTTGAGAGAAAGACAAGACTATGAAAATTAAAGAGGTTAGGTAAAAAATCAAAAGACTTTATTCCTTTCTTCAAGAATTAACTTTGAGAGTATCTAATAATTTTAAAAGATTTTAATAGGTTGTGTTCATAAACGTCTTTATACAAGGAAATATGGTTGACCTTCAACCAAATGATATAAGATAATATATTTGACTTGTGCGTCTTCTCTTGGTGAATCGAAGCGGTTAGTCATCTTTTCACAAGTAGCAGATTGAAACGATTAGTCTTCTCTCCATAAATTTTGCAAGATTTTACACGGGATGAACTCACGAACCTCTAAACCTTGATTTAATATTGGACTAACCAATAATCTGTGAGATTTTAATGTCGGGCTAATTTCAAACCATATCTAAATTTTTAATATTGGGTTGAGCTTTAATTTGATTTTGATTTTATACCAGACTAATCAAGAACCTATGGTATTTTTATTCCGGGCTGATCCCAAACCTAAAGAGGGACTGAATCACACAACCTCCTAAACCAAAGCTTTTACGGGTTTAGCTTAAAACCCAAACAAAAATCCCTAAATAGATATAATGTTCAACCGATGTGTATACAAAAGTTCCTTGGTGAACTTACTGTTCTATCCTTCCAAAATTACAACCTCACTCACAGAGAGAACTTTCGCAAAAGCACTTCGGCTAAAATTTTAGTGAGAGAAAATAAACAAAAAAAGTTTAGAGAGAGGGAAAGAGTGAGTTGTGTCAAAACACGATTCTGGATTAAATAAAATGAGGGAATGAACCTCTATTTATAGGCTAGAGGTTGTCCCAAAAAGGAATTTCAAATAAATGTTTTTTATGACAATCTAATCGATTAGCACATGTTTCCAATCGATTAGATATTCAAATTATAATTGATTGTAAGTTCAAAATAGGAAAGAAAATATATCTAGTCGTTGAACATCATTAATATGTTGTCACAATCGGTTGAGACTCAATTTTGAATTGAGCTAACCGATCAGATAAAAGTGCTAATCAATTAGATAAGTCAAAATTTTGCTTATAACTATTTTGACAGCTCCCAATTCATCTGCCATAATTTTAAGATATTTTTGAAGATATTTTCTTGTAAAAATTCAATTTGAAAAATGTTTTAGTGTGTGTGTGCGCGCTTTAGACATGTACTTTTAAGAGAACGCCCTTTATGCATTATATAATATTCACTCATACTAATTTAGGTAGGGCTTTCTTGCGCTTTCGGGCTTTGTCAAACACTCTTTTATAGACACTTGCTTGAGATTACTTGAGATGAGGTTTGAGTTATATTTCACTTGATTTCCATCATCGAATAGTCAAGTCCATCAAACCCTAATACTCAGGTTTGCATATTTATCTGCTTAGCTTCTTATACTTGACTTGTTAGTAGATATTAGTTGTAATTTGTTCGTCTATTTATAGAGTCTAAAATCTAACTGTAAGTGCACAACCTATCAAAGTAATATAAAAGATTGTCGAACCACCAAGACCAATCGTCAATCTATCAACTCTATTATTAAGTTGTTTATCTAAGGCGGACCGATTCAGTTGAGGGAGTATAATGCAAAGGAAATAAATAGATAAAGTAAATTCAGACAAAAGACATGCTAGAATGTAAACCACATTGGTCAAATAACATTTCAATTTGTATTTAATAGAACTACTCATGGGGCAATATTTTCCACTCTTGTAAAGGAACAATTTGACGGGAACTTGTCATTTTCGCTAACTAAGAATCGAGTTTACTCTCTAATCAAATCCTTCTATTGTCACTTATAAAAAGGCGCTTCAAGCGTTAAAGCAGCAAACCTATTTTTAAGAAATTAGTTTCTTAACTTAGTAAAAAGGTGGTTTTAACTCGGAATGATTGACATAAAGAGATTCTTGGCTTTCACTCGAGAATCAGATTGTAATCCTATAAACGCGTTCGAAAATAGTTTCAAAATCGTTTTCTAAAAGTGTAAAAGATCCCTAATTAACCAGTCAAAACGCTTCCACCATTTTTGAACGGTTAAAAACTAACCAAGTTTACTCTTTGAAATGGACGAATTTTGATCTTATCAAAAAATATTAAGTACGGAAAACTTGTATTAAAAGTTAAAACAACCCCTAAAGTGTTTCTGCTGATATGGTGTTGAAATGTTATCATGACAATGATCCTTACATTCTAACCTTAAAATATTTAGCCAGACATGGAAATAAAAGCAAGCATATTAAAGTTGATCGAAATAAAAATAGTAATAAAGGAAAGGTAAGGTAATAAGATAAGTAATGCAAGTGAAAGACAAAGCGATTGAACAAAATAAAAAACTTAAATAGAAACCTGCTCCAAATCGGATTCTTTAAATCTTGGTACAACTGGAAAGTAAATGCTTAAAGTAAAATGGCGGCAAAATTATAAATAAAAGAGATGCTCCAACCTAATCAAGACTATGGTGCAATAATCCTCCGATGTGGAGAATTATTGCTTTTACACAAGTGAGTATAGGATTAGCGTTGCAGGACTAAGTTGGATGATGGAAAATGAAATGAAAACTACTATTTATAGAAGTTCTCTAGGCTATGCTTTGACAGAAATTCCCCCAACTCCTTTTGGGCGGGAAGAAACTTAACAAAGACCGCTACCACCGAGGCCCCTCTACGGGCGCTGAGTGAGCTGATAGAGAGATCGTGGGGACGTGGCAGTTATCCCCCGGGTGGAGTGGGACACATCACGGTCCCCCCTATAGCGGCCACTGAGCTGAATGCCATGTGTAGTATTTCACTGAAAATCTTGATTTCTTGGCCTTTCCGCTTGGTTTCTTCAAGAAGAGCTCTAAATGGGCATGTTGCCTGAAAACAAGACAAATACAAGCATAACGCAAGAAAACAATACTAAAAATTACGAAAAACATGTGTCAATTGAGTCAAATATACAGTGCGATCATGTGTTATCAAATTCTCCAACACTTAAACATTTGCTTGTCCTCAAGCAAAAACTCTCAGAAGTAGATGAAAAGAAGAAGAACAATATTTACAAGATTTTTAGCTAAAAGGGCTTCTAAGTTTAAGTAAGGCTGTGTGGATAGGTACTAACTGATCGAACCAAGGATATCGTGATAACACTTTCTACACAAAAATTTGGGGCATAAACTTTATTCCTATAAAAACACATCCATGTTTGTCCACTATGCCTAAGCTTCCTTATTTTGTAAGGTCCTTTTTCATTCAGGCGCAATCACATTAAACCCATTATCCGTACCCACTCGTAGAAGAGTGACCGGTTAGTGACTCTGATCTTAAGCATGGGGTTCTAGTATATGAACATGTATAACCCCTTTATTTACCCAACTGTGGTTGTGGGGGATCGGACCGTAATCCGCCCTACCAAGTCCAACACCAGACACCACTAAACCAACCAACAACGGGAATAAACCTTTTATTTTCTTTTTGTTTCTTTTTTTTAATATTTTACAACAAATTTTTGTCAAGTGACTGTGTGAGAGTCACCCAACCCGGAGTTGTATTTTAAGTTAAAGAACAGAAACAAAGATCATTCACTTATTTTCATCGGTCCCCTGCGTAGAGCATGCTTAGGTCGGAGCTGACTGCTAAGATAAACTACTAAAAGACCTTTGTTACAATAAAATAAAGCTACAGTATAGGGGATAACAAGACCAGTTCTTATATTTACAAAATTTATAATGCTAAAACGATATCGGTTTTTCAAAAAGAATTCCCATGTCAAACACATCCTACCTCGAACCTGTCTTA